ATGCTGATGCATTAAGTCGCCCCGTTAACCAATGGGAATATGTTGTACAGAAAAAGACTAATTCGATAGTTGGTGATGCTTATTGATTGAAGTAGTTCTCTTCATTATAAAAACCTCTTTGTTGATGTGGAGTTGGGAGTGGGATATGATACACCAATGTTCTCATAGTAATCGACGGCTGCGGCCTCACTCAATTTTTATAATGAAAGTATCCCTTCCCTTGATAGTATATGAACGAAACATGTATAGTATGATCACATGAGATAACATCGATGATTGAGTCAATTCATTGTCCATGTTCCGTGCTGGCTGAATGCCGGATGTTACACACTTTGCATAAATATGTGGCATTCCCCCTATAGCCTGACATAGCCCCCATTTACACCAATCGAGATGAGGGCTACATTTTGCTACCGTTGACGTCCATGAAGTCTCTGACCCTATTGGCAGGATTGCCGCTCCTCGGGTTGGACAGGATACTTTGTATAAGTCTGTTGTAACGATCTGGATATGGATAGACATAGTACTTTCTCTGGTAAAAGCTCCTACCCATTCGGCTACGCCCCTCAAGGATAGGTTCCACGTGGAGTGTATCCGATTCGAGTACCTAGCAGTTGACAAGATAGTCACGACAAAGGAGAAAGGGGGCACGTACCACATCCGCTCCTACAGACACAACCTCCTCAGCAGTATCCGGTGTCTTATCATCGTGATGTACAGGCCTCAACAGGTCCATCAAAATGGTAACATCACTCTTCCTGCGGCTTCGTGGATTCTGCTTATTCCCTTCCGTAACAGCCCTATGAATACCCCGATACGCTCGACGTGGAGACCTCGAATACCTACTCGTGTTTCCGCAACGACTGGCTTAATTGGGTAGAGAAAGCAGAGCGGAATCGGGCTGTGCTAAGGCGATGCCCCGCTCCTCGGCGTCCCTTAGACGAGCTGAAAGGGTGGTCAGGAGGAGGTACCATGTTAAGGACCTGCCGGAGCATTGATGCTTCCCCCCCATCTGGGACCTTCGATACCGCTCTCGCTGAGGAAGCTCCGCTGGGAACCTCATCATCGTCTTGTGTCAAATACTGAGGAGGCTCGTGGCTGCGATTGTCTGTTATCAGCGCCAGTCGATCTCGTCCTGTAAGGGAAGGTGGTGGATACAAAGCTGTATATTGATACCTAGTTTGGTAACCATCTGCAGACCTGTTACTGAGCTCACATCACGCAAGGTGGTCATCCCAGTCGAGAGGGTTGACGGTACATTGGTGGACCCTCCACTTGGCCATCGTTTCGTCATATTCTGGACGTTCTCAATATGCCTAATGATAATGATTACAGTCTGTATGAAGAGATGTGTCCACTCACCTGTCAGAAGGCTTCTGCAGCTGACAACCTCCCGTCTTAGATTCACGAAAGACCGTCTCGAATTGTGACCAATCCGGATCGCTATCGATTGCCGAGTCTGTTGTCGAGGTAGAAGGAGAGTCTGAGGACATCGTCACTATATCGGAAATGACAATAAGCCACCCTACCTGGATGCCTCTTAGTGCTCTCACGCTCCTCCTCCTCCTCCCCCTCCGATATGAGACCGAGATGTTCTAGTCCCTTGCGGATGAAGCATAGATCGGGCTTGAAGGCATTGGTACGATTGAGCCTTGCTAATCCTGCCAACCTACTAGTAGGAGTAGTAGTTAGAGTTGTGTTGGTGATAATCCCTCACCGATGTCGCATGGTTTTGCGTTGCTTCTGCCGTGCATGTCGTTCATTGATCCCTTTTACTATGGCTGCATGAGGGGTACCCTGGGGTACGAGCCATCGCATTGATACAGCACCTGCTAGTGCTGCGAGAAGTAATAGTTGTAGGTGAACATTACTACCTGGTATAAGGTGATCTAGTAAACTGAGTGTATGATCATCATCTGTGGCTTGCTTCAAACCTCTGAGGAGTTCTTCACTGTTCACCAAGGCATATGTATTATAAGGTAGTCCATCCAAGCACTGCTGGCGGCCCTCTAGCGAGAAGAAGTCCGTCTGTGTAGTCCGATTGAGGTGCCGCATGAGTGCCACCTATCAAGATGGTTCTCTTTACCATTGTAGCCAGCCGTAATGCTGCTGCTGCTGCTTACGAAAACCCTGTTGCATTGCTGCCTATCGACTTCGGCAATAACAGAGTCCCCACCATCAGTGACTTGAGTACCTCCTTCTAGTGCAGCACCAGCGCATCGTCTATGGACCTTCAAAGACGACTACTATCATCATGCTATATTGATATACCTTACACAGGCAGCCACGCTCGTCGCGTTCTTCACAAGAGCATATAGTTGCTTCACATAGAGGCACCGATCATCGTCATCATCATGTATATCAACCAGCATTCGCAGCTTATCATCTACGATGCATCATCCTATAGTCAGCAATAGTCCAACTACTACCTTTGTCGGTATCAATACTGGTCAATAGCGTAAGACATGTTAGAAGCCTCATAAAGTCTACTCGTAGGCCTATAACCATGTCGTGCTGCTCCTCAACATCCATCATCCTAGGGCTGTTCCTGTTGTTGTTGTTGTTGCTGCTGCTGTTCTTCATTCCACAGATACTACACCTTGCATTGCAGCCACGAGCAAGTACAAATATTGCTCGAAGTAGAGGTTTCTCGTGCCTACAAAGCGGTAGTATCACTACAGTCTATCACCCTCTTACAATTACCTGCAGAATATGCCAAGCTCTCCACAAGTGGTAGAAAAGGTAGAGTATGAGAGGCAGCATGGCACATCATTCAATCGATCGAGATGCGACTGCTTGAGAATCTGTATTCTAGAATCATAAGCCTTGTAGGGTTAATCGTAGATATACCTTCTGGGTCAGTATGGGTCGAAGTTGGTTTATGACGAGGGTCTGTGTTATCTTGTCATTGAATGTTTGAACCTATCAATCTCAGCATTGATGATGACGGCACGAGGTAGTGATACCAAGAATGCCTTGTTCCTCGGGCAGCCATTCAAGATAATCTCTATGAATACTCCACACCATGCCTTAGCTCTCCGACGATTAAGCTCAAGCATCTTCATCGGTGTTAGTATCGTGTTACCCAGAGTATGGGCTATGAGTACCTATGCTACAATGCTAGGTCACTAGAGTTTATAGTTATCATCACTGTTTGGAAGGTTTCCAATGTCATACATTTCTCACCCTTACTTGCTGTCCGGAATAGGCTCCTAAGAAGTTAATAGGTACAGTAAATAGTGTGTCCCTTCTCACCTTGCCATACGTTCGCTCAATTGGATTCCCACACTACGGAGGATACGATGCAAATCCATATACACCATCGTAATAGATGATGATCTTTTCTTGCCATTTGTATGCCGTAGCTTGAGAGCTGGTGCACCCAATGATCCATGATTGAAGATAAGAGTGTCCTTAAGAGTAGCCCATAGACGTCCGATCAGCTCGGTGTTATCCCTCCTGTATTGTGTCTGATACTACGCTATATATGTTCATCTCGGTACTACTCCCATTACCTTCAATGCTTTATTTAGCTCCTTCACTCGTTGTTGCAATACCCTAGCTTGGTCATCTCTCTCTGAGTTCTCAACACTCACCGCCCTCACTGATATCCGTCGTGTATCGGTAGTCATTGTCGGTCACTAATGCTCAATAGCAGCCTGCTATTGCTGCTGCTATCACCACATAAGCTCATAACACTATCAGATACTTCCTGTCGCTACTTATGACAGAACTCAAACAGCAGTGGTGTGTAGAAGCACAGATTTATGAGGAGAGGCTTATCACATGTCCGGACTGTGATCATTTAGAATCATCACTTGACATAATGGAATGACATGTGGGTCGGATGTGGGTGTCGTATGCAATGGAAGAGTGAGGCCTGAATTGTCGATGCTATAACAACATTTGACCCCAGCAATAATGGTTGTCGTAGTCTTGTAAGTAGTTTGTTATTGTGTCATGATAGGTAGATAATAATCATTATCAATAATCTCCTAGTGTTCCAGCTTCCGAGCCTGTACACGCATCTTATCCTCCTCACCCATATGCTCTAGTTTCTCAGAATTACCACTAGCCCCAGATAACACCTGTACACCATAGTACCACACGCTGGATGCTCCCACTCACTTCGTCATTATCTCCAACTGTTTGGTTGAGATATTCATCATCCGATCCAACATCACTGATGGTCGGTGTTGATATCCCGTAGAGGCCTATAATAGTCGCCAACGATGGAGTACTACTGTACCTCTCGTCATTAGCCATCCAAGCTTACCCAGATCATGACGTCTATGGCCGGCAACTTGTACCTATGGACCAGTAGTGGTTGGTAATGTGGATGGAGGCAGTGGGCATTGACCGCGTAGACCAACCGATGGTGTCATCTGATCATCTCCCCTTGGTCTAGGCGGGGGACTGGTCTCTGCCTCATTTGTATTATAGTCATGCTCTGTCAGCACCGGAGAGATCGAGGTTGCAGCTCTTGTTGTCCCTTATCTCATAATCGAGTGTTGGGCTATTATAACTTAAATGAGGGCATCAGTGGCCCCCTCATTATTGCTGAGGTGTGGATGAAGGATTCCTTTTATGGCGCAGCAGGGGGTTAGGAAGAGTTTGACCATTTGCTGACCTGACGATGGATATACGTCCACACGTACAAGGGAGGGGGATAGGATACATATAGTCGGGTATTGCTCTTCCCGATCTGATGATAATTCCTGGTACTGGGCGGACGCATAAATCTCGGACATAGCTAAGGAACAGCATGTACCACCTAACCCGGGCTGCTCCATTGACAACAGTAACATCATCATGATCCAAGAACATCGATGAGCATACAGCAAGGATCATTGCAGGAGGAATGTGGGAGCATGAGAGTCGTATACTGCCACTGAATGATCGGAAGCGGTAATGATCAGTATGAGAAATGCCTCCTCTCGTTATTGAGTATATTATACCTAGAAGCCTCGTTACCGGTCTAAGCAGGGCCTGACGACTACCCTCTCCTACTTGACACTGCTGTTGGTTATAGTTAGCCTGGGTTGCATATAATAGGGGTCACAGCGAGTAAGCTTATCCTGAAAACTGTCGATATCATAGAGCACCATGATAGTGACTTACCATCTTCGAGAAGTGATTGTTGTACCGGGTGATACCGAAGTCGGAACATTCCAGTCTATTGCAGCTATGATACCCTTGCTGTTTACCTACTATCCAAGGTGAATCCCCATATGGAGCGTATTCTCACCCAGTTGTCTCCCGATAGCACTGGTTTCTCTATCCATCGCATAAGTGCTAGCTGTTTTACAGTGGGCGAAGGTGGCTGATTCACAGTGTAGTTGGTCTACACTTACACTCCGTCGCACTCTATGATTCCCTAGTCTTGCCTAAATACATCTCCTTACTATATCCAACAAGGGAGGAGTGACCTGAGGGCCTCTGGTCGGCTTCTGATGACATGCTGCTTTTTGCTCATACTCCTCCTTAGTCACCACATTCGATGGTGTATGCTTACCTACATATACATGATGTGGGTAAGGCTACAGGTATAGCTCACCACAGACTATCTTATGTCGATTATCATCATTCAATGAGGGTCTCATCTCTGGTGTTGGTGGGCTGAGAACGCATGTGCATTGTAGAGTATGTAGGGATGAATATGGATACCGAAGATGTCTTCTATTCATCTGGTAGTGCGCATAGCATTGTGGGAAGGCAGAGTGTAAGATGTGATTATCCATCCTGCGTTGTAGTCGTAAATCGCTGTTCCTATGGGAT